TCATGCATACCAGATGGTATCTAGGTGAACTGCTGTCCTTTGTCCCCAAGTTGTTAGAAATTCCATTATTTTATAATTGAGTTCCCTTGTGTGTCCCCCGCCCAATTTTCCATGCAGAAAGTATTAAGACATATTGTCACTTTTTGTTTTTTTATGAAATCAAGGAATTTGTCCTATCAACAGTGGTGATAATTCTTTTGCTGTACTTACTATGTGTGCTCTCATTTTTACAAACAATGAATTTGCACCAGTTCTAAGTTTACTAAAGCTTTCACACAGAGAAAAATAGAAAAGAATATTTCATCCTAAACCTTGTAGGCTTGTACTTTCTCCCCCACAAGCAGGCCTGTGTTTCATAAACCTGAGAAAACTGGTCTGTAACTTGGAAACCAAGCAGTATTGTTTGTGTTCTTCTCTAAACAAATATATTTTGTTTCTTAAATGTTCATTTTTATGAAAAGGGGAAATTGTCACATAGTTTTATAGGAAAGAAAAAGAATATTGTACAAAAGTTGAAAGAAACATATAAGTCATCTTTCATAATTTTGAAAAATACCACTGAACGTTTTTTTTTACCTTACTCATTTTCTTATTCCATCTCAGACACTTCTAATTGTAAATGTAGCGTATCTGCATATTGTTGATGAATTTATTCCGATCAGAAACTACTTGAAAACACACAATCAACAAAATCCAAAGACACCAGTTCCCTATTATTTATTTATTTGTTTATTTATACCCCACATTTTCTCTCCATACTCAAAGCGACTTAATTAAAAGCGTTTCAATACAATTTAAAATCTAAAAATATACAAACATTAAAAGAATAGATGTTACACTAAATGGGATTAAAACATTCACAGTTATAATTAATAAAAACATCAAAGCTAAAAACCACAGCACCCCATGGCTTGATCTTAAAAACCTTCTTCTTTAAAAGTCTGCCTGAATAAAAAGGTTTAGCTGGAAGGACATCAGAAAAGGGGCCATTCTGGCTTCCCTGGGCAGGGAGTTCCAGAATTATGGGGCAGCCACTGACTGAAAAGGCCTTTTCTCATTTGCACCAACCAAGCTTGAGATGGAGCTGAGACTGAGAGAAGGCCTCTCCTGAAGACCTCGGGGCTTGGGCAGCTTTGTACAAGTGGATGCGGTCAGCCAAATGGCCTGGACCTGGGCCGTCTAGCGCTTTAAATGTCATAACCAGTAGTTTGAACTGTACCCGAAAACAGACTGGCAGCCAGTGGAGCTGCTGTAACAGGGGTTATCCACTCCCTGTAGCCAGCCCCAGTTAGCAACTTGGCTGCAGCTCTTTGGACCAGCTGAAGTTTCCGAGCACTTTTCAAAAGCAGCCCCACATGGTGCATGTTACAGTAACTAGGCAGGATGTAACTAAGGCATGTACCACCGTGGTGAGATCTGGCATCTCATGGAATGAGCGCAGTTTGTGCACAAGTTTTAGTTGTGCAAAGGCCTTCCTGACCACCGCAGATATCTGGGCCTCCAGTTTCAGTGCCGAGTCCAGGAGGACCTTCAAAGTGTGGACTTCTGTCTTCAGGGGGAGTGTAATCCCATCCAGCACAGGTTGGATGCTTATTTCCTGATCTGACTTATAACTGACCAGAAACACTTCTGTCTTGTCTGGATTAAGTTTCAATTTGTTTGCCCTCATCCAGCCCATTACTGATGACAAGCACTGATTTAGAGTCAGGAAAGCTTCCTTGGCTTTCTGTAGGAAGGAGTAGTAGAGTTGGGTGTCATCTGCATATAGGTGGCACCGTACTCCAAATCTCCAGATGACCTTTCCCAATGGTTTCATGTATATGTTAAAAAAGCATGGGGGACAAAACAGAAACCTGTTTGAACTCCAGGAGTCCCCCATCACTACCTTCTGGGTACACCCTTGCAGGAAGAAATGGATCCACTGTAAAACAGTGCCTCCCAATCCCATCGCAGTGAGATGGCCCAGAAGGATACCATGGGCTATGGTATGGAAAACCACTGAGAGATCCAGGAAAACCAACAGGGACAAACTCCCCCTGTCCACCTCTCTGTGTAGGTCATCCACCAAGGTGACTCAAACTCTCTGTTCTGAAACCAGATTGAAATGGATCTAGATAATCTATTGCATCCAGAAATCTCTGGAACTGGGAGGCCACCATCCACTCCAAAACCTTGCTCAAAAAGGGAAGGTTGGACACTGGCTGATGGTTGTCGATTATGGAGGGATTTAGGCATGTTTTTTTAAAAAAATATAGGTCTCGTAGCTGCCTCCTTTAGGCAAGCTGGAATTTTGCCCTGTTCCAAGGAGTCATTTACCACCACTTTCACCCATTCTGTGGGTCCCCCTCTGGCTTGTTTGATCAGCCAGGAAGGGGAAGGATCTAGAATACATGTGGTAGCTCTCACCTCTCCAAGGATCCTCTCCTCATTCACATCCTTATTTGGTGGCTCAATTCTAGTTGGGAATAACAATTGTATTTAGCCATTACTATTAAGGAGGTCATTAGTACACCAGTGGGTATATTGATAGCTGAGTATTTGGGAAATTGTTGGCACATTCAGTGGGGGAGGTTGTCCACCTGCCATTCTGTAAAATGTTAAAGAGCAGCTCATCGTGTTGTTTGATTGGATATTCAGTCCTATTTTTCTTGAATAAAATCAAATCTTTCAATATCTGTAGTGTGGTTTAGATATAGGAAAGCATAGAATTGCTAGAAAGTAGTACTGCTACCTTTTAGTATATCGTAGTTGTGTGATTTCTTGATTACTCAGGTTTATCACCCTCTACCATTAAGATGAATAATTGGAGTTCAGTAGCTGCTAAATTCCCTGTACAGATTGTGACATTCAGTACTATTTTTCTTTTATTCACTTCAGGCATGCTTGGTATTGAATATTGCATTAAGAAATGCCTGGCATTTTTGGCATGTTTGATCATACTAGTCATTGGAAATAATAAACCGAAAATATAATTTACAGCTACCTTCTTTCCAGAAATTTGCTCAGAAAGATGTTGCTGGAAAGGGGAATATGCATATATTAAAATAATTTTCCTACCAAAAAAACCACAGTATAATGACAGAAGTAATTGAAGCGTTTTGTCTTTTCAATTTTGTTTTTTAAACTGAATCTTACAAATTGTATTAATTAATCTGTTTTGGTGTTGCTGTACACTTGCAAAATGAAGTATGTTAATGACAAAGTTTCATGGGGAGATCATCTTGAAATTATTTGCATCCTTTTGCCTAATGGGTAAAATGCAACATTTGTTTATGTGTGGCTTCATGTAATTTCCACCTAACTTTAGGAAGAATTTCCTGACAGTAGGAACTGTTCACCAGTGTAATATGCTGCCTTGGAGTGTGGTAAAGTCTCCTTCTTTAGAGGTTTTTCAACATAGGCTGGATGGCCATCTGTCAGGAGTGCTTTGATTGTGTGTTACTGCATGGCAGAATAGACTGGGTAGCCCTTGGGATCTCTTCCAACTGGGTAGCCCTTGGGATCTCTTCCAACTTATAGCAATCTAAGGTGAATTTAGCACAAGGATTTTCTGGGACTGAGAGTGTATGACTTGCCCAGGGTCACAAAGTGGGGGTGATTCAAACTTTGGTATTTAGAGTTGTAGCTCCATACTGAAACCAATACACCACAAGCCTCCTTTAAGCAAGTTGGGGTTCTGTTTAGTTCTAAGGGGGCATTGACAACACCCTTTACCCAGCCAGGAAGGCCCCATGTGAAAAGTAACGATCAATATTGGGCATAGCAGGAGCCAAGATTGTATCCACTGGAGTTGTGAAAACTGAGTCTTAAGTCTTTAAAATGTTTAGATGATTTAAAACATGGCTCCAGAGTGGATTCACTGGGCTGTCATCCTATTTAATGGCAGCAGAGTCAAAAGGTCTGCAAGTGCATTACAGGGAATTGAAGGCTAGGCACAGATAAGCAGTATGAAGGTAGCCAAGCAACTGTGATTTGGCCCTGGTGTAACTTACTGCACCCCTCAAGCCCGAGTGGCCATCTCTGCTCAGGGAGGGACAGAGCAACACCCAATTAGGACCTTCTCATGCAGCGAAGCATCAGAGGCCTCCTTCCTTGAGTTTTAAAAAGCAATAGCCACTAACACACACAACTGGGAGTCATGTGAGTGTAGTGTCATCATTGGATCCTGGCCAGTAGGCCCTAATTATACCTAAAATTGTTCTAAAATTCCAGTGTGTTTCCTCAGTATATTGATTTAACTAATCCCTTTCAGATCAGCTCTCTCTGCAACTGCCCTGATCTGAGATTTATCAGATCCATAGTATAGTTCACAACCAGCTGTGCTTTTTTATTCCTCCTTGATGGTTCATATCTACTAAGTACCGGTGGCCTGTCAGAACATGGATAAATGCGGTTACTCTAGAAGCATGGTGAGAACTGAAGATAACAAAGGCTTCCTACTACCTGACGCTGATAGGCATTGGTTAGTACGTCAGTTTCTGAAGTCCTTCAGAGAAGAGTATACGTTTCAAGTCAGTCTCTGCAGAATACTGCTCTGCATACAATAAAAGAATCGGGCTATTAAATATGGGCTGTGGAGAAAGGAAAGGAGTAGTCTGTAGTATCTATTTACCCATATTCCTGTTTCATTAGGAATGGCAATAGATTTAATAACAAAATAGCAACAAAGACTGCAAGCATTTCCTCAAAACAAGGAAATTCACTGGACAATTGTTGTGATTCAGCATATCCCTTTTTTTGTGTTTTTTTTTGTTTCCTTTTTTTAAAAAAATACAAATGTATCCTTCTGTTACAGCAAAGATATCCACCATCCATTATCTGAGGAAGAAATGTCATGCTGATGTATTTGATCAGGACAGGCTCTGGCAGAGTGCAAAACGAATCAGAAAAGCTCTTAATCTGTTCCAAAGCATGCATGTTTTAGAAGATTTTGTCCATGCACGGCAATTGTATTTTTCGTCTGATCTTTACTAATATCAACCCTTTTATTCCTCTCTCAGGGCTTATTTCAAAACATTTGTCCCCCAGTTCCAGGAGGCAGCCTTTGCCAACGGAAAACTCTGAAGGGAAACAAAGGGCAACCTTATCCTGAGATGATGCCAAACAGATTCTTACATCCACATACTTGTCAACAGACTGCAAAATGACTTCCTGAAAGCACTTGGCTTTCAGTCTCTGTTGGTGTTTTGTTTTTTCTGTTTTATGCGTGTGGTTATTTGAAAAGGGACATTTGATAGCATTTTGGGGAGGGGGTGCCTCTGGAGCATCTTTTGTTCACCATCTAGTGAATTTGCTCTGTGCACATGGCAAGGAGCTTGGTTGGCTTCATACATTTTAATTTGTGGAATTTTGCTATTATGTAAACATGTTTCCTATGTTCAGGCTTGATTGAAATTAAAAAACAAACAGAAGAAAAGTATAAATTTGGATTTTTTTCCTGTAGTTCTTTATTTGTACAGTTCTTTTTTGTACCAATGTCTATTATACTTCTGTGATTTCTTTTGTTTGCTGTTTAAAAACACCCATAAAAACAATTAGTCGATTGAACAAAATATCGCTGTGTTTATGCCTTTTCAGTTATTTGTGTGCAAAGTTAATACCCATACGAACCTGAAAAAGTACAGTATAGTCTCGTTTATCCAACATAAACTGGCCGGCAGAACATTGGGAAAGTGAAAACGTTGGATAATAAGGAAGGATTAAGGGAAAGCGATGTGCAGGGCTTGACTAATGCAAGGCTGGGGTGAAAATTGCTGGAAGAAACGTTAAGAACCTTAGATATGCAGATGACACCACTTTGATGGCTGAAAGTGAGGAGGAGCTGAGGAGCCTTCTAATCAAGGTGAAAGAAGAAAGCGCAAAATCTGGGTTGCAGTTAAACATCAAAAAACCAAGATTATGGCAAGAAGAATAATGGACAACTGGGAAATTGAGGGAGAAAACGTGGAGGCAGTGACAGACTCTATTTCTAGGTGCAAAGATTACTGCAGACGCAGACTGCAGCCAGGAAATCAGGACTCACTTACTTCTTGGGAGGAGAGCAATGTCCAATCTCAAAAAAATTGTGAAGAGTAGAGACATCACACTGGCAGCAAAGATCCACATAGTCAAAGCAGTGGTATTCCCCATAGTCACCTACGGATGTGAGAGCTGGACTATAGGGAAGGCTGAGCGAAGGAAGATAGATGCTTTTAAACTGGAGGTGCTGGACGAAAGTTCTGAGAGTGCCTTGGACAGCGAGAAGATGCAACCAGTCCATACTTCAGGAAATAAAGCCCGACTGCTCATTGGAGGGAAGAATAGCAGAGGCCAAGATGAAGTACTTTGGCCACATCATGAGAAGAAAGGAAAGCTTAGAGAAAACAATTATGCTGGGGAAAAAGGAAGGAAAAAGGAAGAGGGGCTGACCAAGGGCAAGATGGGTGGATGGGATCCTTGAAGTAACTGGATTGACCTTGAAGGAGCTGGGGGTGGTGACGGCCGACAGGGAGCAGCTGCATAAACTATGACAACGTGATAGTGTCTCTCTACCTAATTTTTCAGTACTGATGAAAAAACGTAAATCTCACTGTTCAAACAGGTTTGTAACTTCAAAGGACGTACCAATTCCTTTATTAATAGATACTGTGTAGTCATTGGACATAAAACCTGCTGTTTAGAGGATTTTACGAGAAAACTTGACTGGATGTATCATTCTTTCTAATACAGAAATAGTACATTCAGCGTCGGAACCATTTATTTTTCCTTTCCTGTGATATATTTAGGCAAGGCACTTGTGTCTGACTATCCATGGAGTAACTTCCCCTATTTTGCAAATAGCTCAGGGTACTTTCCAAAAAGGAATGAAACGCATTGCTTTTCCAAATAACTTTGCAAGCATACCTTGCTTCTGCTGTGATTTAAGAAAGTACAGGCAGACCCACAAGAAAGGTTCAGTTGGTTTGTTCTTAAGTTGAATTTATATGTAAATTGGAACAGGTAAATTTTTAAAGTATCTCTAGATAGATAGATAGATAGATAGATAGATAGATAGATAGATAGATAGATAGATAGATAGATAGATAGATGCAAGCTTTGCACCGCATAGAGCAAGGTTAACACCGTGTGATGTTTATTTTGCTGCCTGCCCTGTTCAGAAGCTTTCACCTCACTTTCTGTCCCTGTGATAATTGGATGCTGAAAAATTTGGCTTGATGTGAAACAAGGTTTGGTGATAACGCTTCAGTGGATACACCTTTTCCCTATGATATTTCTTTCAGGAGTAAATTTCCCTTCCTAGGGATGAATTTATCTCATTTCCTGTTCTCTCAGCCCCATTTGAAACTGTGAGTCATTTGTAAGTCAGATGTTTGTAACTTGGGGACTGCCTGTAAATTAAATACCTATTTATGTTATACCCAACCTGTAGATGTCTAATATTACAAGTAGTCAAATGTACCCTTTTGTTTCCCTTAACTATAAACCTGGAGTACTTTTATTAATTACTTATTTATTAAATTAATGTCTTCCTTTTCTCACACAAATGGGAAATGTACAAATAGAGCATAATGAATATATTAAAATGAAAACATGAGATAACACCAATAAAAGAAAATTTGGACACCACACATACACACAGTTCTTCCACAGCAAGGGAGATCAGGTGTAAAATATCTTCCTAAATTAAAGGGAGACTGAGAAGCAGCCAGCTACTTATCCAACTCTCAGGAAAATGAGTTAAAAAGAACAAGAACAGCTATTCCTGAATATAAAATAATTGAAATAAGTAGTTGTCTGGTCTGCGCTTTCCTCCCTCCATGCTCCTCTCCAGCCGAACTGTATAGAAAACCAGCAGGGTATCATCAATTTGTTTCTTCTTGTTATCATATCTACTTAAGTCCTTTTTGCCTCTTGTTGTTATTGTATCTATTTATGTTCTTTTTGCCAGGTTTGCAGGTCCTTGAGGCTGCCAGGTAACCTGTGTTCAAAAAGCGCCTCCTGTTCCAAAGCTCTACTGTTTTCAGCTACTGAACTACGGCATAATTTGTACAACAATTAATTGTCAAAGAGTGTGGACAAGAGGGAAAGCCAAGATCAATGGCTGAAAATAATGCTCGAAGTGTCAAGCAATGAGCAAAGAAAGCAGGCATGGAATATTTAACAGTGTCCTGCAGATCTGCCAACACCACAGTCCAAACCATTGAATGAGTCCCTGGTTGCAGCTTAAAAAGAAATAAAGCATCTGAACATGAGGCTTTTCATGAATCAATAAAGAATAAGCATAATATTAAACGGCTGGAAACCAAGAGAGAGCTTAATTGCAGGTGCCTTCAGAATAAATAGACAGTAAAAGTCTAATGTTATTTATGCCTGCAGCTCTCTAGAGCTTTCTTGCCTCCAGACCTGGCTGCAGAATGAATACATTCTTGTTAAATAAATGTCCTATGCAAACCCCCTGCCATGAAAATTGATCTTTGGGTTGCTACATGTTTTCATCAAAGTATATTGAAGCCATAATGTTTCTTTTCCACCTGTGAGGATTGCAATGCCGTGCCAATGAAATGCAAAACTCTTGTGTTCTGTTCCAACTGTGCAGAGCTGTAAAAGACTTTGACTCGCAGTGGAGCATGTCGTTTTGGAAGCTGGTTAAGTCTGCCAGTGAACCGGGATACTTTTGTCATGCCTCTGCTTTTATTCAGTATGATTCAAGCTGATCTCAATTTGACATATTGTTTCCTTGAGCCCACTGGCCCCTGCAGCTAAAAGATTTTTAATAATTGCTTTGAAAAGAAAAACAGGTTGTTTATCTCTGGAGAGGTTGCAGTGCTGGCAAGGGGCATCCTATTAACCGATCTACAAATAGGGTTTGTGTTTCACCCAACTTAAAGAGCAAGAGGCACTTCTTTAGGTCTGTGGTGGATGTTTTGGTTGCAGTAGTAATGTTGCCATTGTGTTTCTTGTCATATGTTCAGGCTAGCCATAGCTGGCATGTGGATTTATTGCCCTGAACATGAAGATCAGCAGTGGACAATATTTCCCCTTGCTGTGCATCAAAGCTGAGTTGTAATAATGCCAGCAGTAGGCAAACTAAGAGCAAAGATTTGGAGAGCCTACAATTTCCTTCCTCTTTCTGTTCTTATCTTGTAGGCTGCTGGCAATAGAATAGAATCAGAGTTGGAAGAGACCTTGTGGGCCATCCAGTCCAACCCCCTGCCAAGAAGCAGTAAAATTGCTTTCAAAGCACCTCTGACAGCCATTCAGCCTCTGTTTAAAAGCCTCCAAAGAAGGAGCCTCCACCACAGTCCAGGGCAGAGAGTTCCACTGTAACAGCTCTCACAATTAGGAAATTCTTCCTAATGTTCAGATAGAATTTCCTTTCTTGTAGTTTGAAGCCCTTGTTCTGCGTCCTAGTCTCCAGGGCAGCAGAAAGCAAGCTTGTTCCCTCCGCTCTATGACTTCCCCTCATGGATTTATACATGGCCATCATGTTTCCTCTCAGCCTTCTCTTCTGTAGGTTAAACATGCCCAGCTCTTTAAGCCGCTCCTTGTAGGGCTTGTTCTCCAGACCTTTGATCATTTTAGTCCCCCTCCTCTGGACACATTCCATCTTGTCAACGTCTCGCTTCAGTTGCGGTGCCCAGAATTTGACCCAGTATTCCAGGTGTGAACTGTCCAAGTCAGAATAGAGGGGTATCATGACTTCCCTGGATCTAGTCACTAGACTTCTATTTATGCTGGCCAAAATCCCATTGGCTTTTTTAGCCACCCTATTATGGTTGGCTCATGTTTAACTTGTCCATAAGGTCTCCAAGATCTTTTTCACACATACTTATGTCGAACCAGGCATCCCCCATTCTGTATGCAATAGATCTCTCTGGTAGAGGCCTGAACTGATTTCTGTCAGAGGATATTTGAAACAGCCACTGGGCACATAAGATTAAGCACAGCAATACATAAAGTCCTAGGACCACAGGTTGCTCACACCCAAGGAAGATTGTGGTCAAGCACAGATCTCTTTCCGAGTGCGAAACTCTCATCAGCTGCTATGTCTAGAATTTTGTCTCAATTTATTCATATTGTACATATTTGCACTCAGTAGAGTAGTGTATTATCTTTGGAGTCCTTCTGTCTTTTTCTGTTATCCTTAAAGCAACTCTGTGAGGTAGAGTGGTCTGAGAAGGTGGCCCACAGATCATAGCACAGCATGGCTTCGAATTGAGGTCACTCTACTTAGCATTAGAATGTTTGACAGACTCCATATATAATAGTGATGGGTCCTCTAAGGTTTTTGACAGCATAATTATAGGCCAAAGGTGGAAGGATGGAAAATACTTTCATCAGGGATTCTAGTATGCTGGATTGAGCAGTACAGGAAGAATTGTGGGTTTTTGAACTCCGATTTCTTAAAACAAAATCCAGAGTTGACCAATACTTTTATTGACATCCAAAACTATAGATTGTGCTTTACCTTCATGGCAGGAAGTTGGACTACATGGCCCATGTGGCCTTGTCCAATTCTACGATGCTATGATTTTATGATTTCCAGTTCTTTAAAACTCTTTCTGATTATGTT